GTTGTGTTGTGTTGTTGTGTGGTTGTGTTGTGTTGTTGTGTTGTGTTGTGGTGTTTGTGTTGCGGTTGTGTTGTTGTGTTGTTGTGTTGTGTTGTGTTGTGTTGTCAGCAGGTAAGGGCAGCTGGACATCTGCTGTTCATGTAAAATAACAGAGAACCCAGAATGGAACCCTGAGGAACCCCATCACAGAAACCTGAGTGTTCTGTTGTGTGTCTGTGTTGTGTGGTTGTGTTGTGTGTCTGTGTGAGTCTGACCCAGCTCACAGTTGACTCCGCTGTATTGCGGCAGACAGAAGCAGGTGTACGATGAAGCCTGAGCCGAGCAGCTTCCTCCGTTCAGACACGGTTCAGACTGACAACTCTGCGGGACTGACACACAACAGACACACAACACAGTTCAAGGTGTGCAGACAGTACATTTAGTGTTAATTTAATGTTAATTTAATGTTACACTATGGCTTACTGTTGTACAACTTCCAGAACTCGTCCTGGAAGAAACACAAACACTGTTTAGTGACGAGAGAACACAACAGACACACAACAGACTCACAACAGACACACAACAGACTCACAAAAGACACACAACACTGCAGATGTTTCAAATTCTGGTACCAGTACCAGTTAAAGGTTCTGGTTTCATACCAGTACCAGTCAGAGATTTTGGTTTCAGTACCAGTTCTGGTACCAGTTAGAGGTTCTGGTTCCGTACCAGTACCAGTTGGAACTCTGGTTCCGTACCACTACTAGTACCAGTTAGAGGTTCTGGTTCCGGTACCAGTGGTCCTTCGTACCGTCAGCTCGTCGTGCTCAAACACCTCCCGGGCCTCTTCGTAGGAACACTTCTCCTCCAGACATTCTCTCTTCAGGTCTCCCGTCTGAAGCTCCTCCAGCCAGCCGGAGTTGAACCTGCGGGTTCGGACCAGAACCTCGTTGGCTCTGACCGGGTCCAGGAAGACATTCTGACCCGGATGGAGCGGGACTGAAGAACAGAACAGCAGGTCCGGTCAGTCAAGAATTAACGCGATGCTTCTTTCTCTGTCAGTTACTCGAGAAGATTTAATCAATGACCTGATCGATCGATCGATCGATTGATCTCCGCTCTGCGCTCAGGGTCGTCCTCTCCTCTCTGTTTGTTTTTATTCTGCTGGTTTGTTTGTTTATTTGGTTGAATATTGCTGTTAACATTCAATGTTGTTGTTTGTTGACTAAAAACGTTTTTCTGTTTTCAGGTTTTTGCATTCTTTCTTTGGAAACAAACAAGCACAGAAAAGTGAGGATGTTTTGCTGCAGTGCCACCATCAGGTCAGTCTTTCACTGTAGCTTCTGTTAGCATGTAGCGCCTGTTAGCATGTAGCTGCTGTTAGTATGTAGCTGCTGTTAGCATGTAGCTGCTGTTAGTATGTAGCGCCTGCTAGCATGTAGC